CACACACACACACACACACACACACACACACACACACACACACACACTGTTGCGTGACCGCTCCCTAACTGGAAGCTCTCAAGGGTTGTTCCTGTCATATTGAAGTGGAATGGTTTAGGGGAAGGGGACGATGTCTTGAAACTCCCTGAACACAATCTAAGGCACAGCTGCGCTATATATAGCCCAAGGGAGCTGAGTGGCCACAGAGGGCAAGAGAACGACATGTGACTTCTGCCTTGAGCTAAGGAGAGCTGTGAGTGAGGGGAAGACGGGAATGGACTAGACAAGGAACAGGAGATGGAATGCGAAAGAACAGAACAGGACTGAGATGTCTTAGGAGAAAAAAAAACAAGCATTTAGGTCAATGGGAAGTACCTGGGATCTGAGAAGCAACAAGCAGAGAAAAGGACTGGCAGTGGTGGCTCACACCCTGAGTCCCAGCCCTTGGGAGGCAGAGGCAGGAGGATCTCTGTGAGTCAGAGACCAGCCTGGTCTATATATGAGACCCTGTCTCTAAACAAATAAAACAAAACAAAAAACAAACCAAGTTATAGGTCAGCTCAGGGTAACAGAGTGAGACCAGGCCTTAAAAACATTTTTTTTTAAAGGGAGGAAGGAAGAAGAAAAGACAAAGAATAACAGAAAAGCAGGGCCATTGAAGTCTCCAGATGAAGCGTGTAGGTGCAGGGCACCCCTGGGACGTGGCTGGCTCTGGAAAGCTGCAATACCCCATCTCCTTTTAGAAACCGGGATAAGGTTCTGAGGACCTTGCAGCATCCATCCAAGGACATCCCCAAGAGCCACAGGCGTGGAGCCAGGAAAGTGCCTCTGATATGTTCCAGAGGAGACTGTTCACATTTCAAACAGGTTTTATTTTAAGGGGTCATGAGTAGAGCTGGGCAGGGTGTGTGCCTGTAGTCCTAACTCAGGAGCAGAGACAGAGGATTTGAGCCCAGGAGTTCAAACCCAGGCTAGGCAACATCGTGAGATGCAGGGCGTGGATAACAGTGACTGGAGACTGACTCTGGCTGCAGTAATGTTAGTTACAGACTCCCGCTTGGGAAGGA